AGATGCACCTTATAGATGAACTGTATTAGAGAGACAAGCTTTTGCAAGGAAAAGCTCACTTGCTCAAATGCTAAATGAATTCCAATTGCATTTCATTCTACCTAAGTTGCTCCTTAGGCACTTACGTACTTTTAGGATCTGAGACTAGGGCTAAATTCACAAGTCTAACCTTGCCATCTCCTGGAATCCAAAGCTTTAAGTTAGGCATCAGGTGCCTAAAAATGAGTTTCACAGAGGCCAGCGCACTGTATGGGGAACTCCCAAAGCCAGCCAGTAGGAAAGTCAAAGGGTGATTAGGCACCTATTTCTACTTGGGATTCTTAGCCAGGGATCCTCTCCTGGACTTAAGTGCCTAAGCCTGATCAGATCTTTCTCAGGAAAACTGAGGAGTGGGAGATTTCTCCACTCTGTTAAGATCACTACACATTCACCAGGGACACAGATGTTTTTAAATATCTACTCTGTCTAGTCAGGGGGATTTGAACCCAGGGTTCCCAAACATTAGAAGTGCCCTGACTGCCACACAACAAAGTAAATCTCTGCCTACTGCTGTTCCTGTGAATACTGTATTTTGTATATACAAAATAGGACAGCTTTAACTATAGGGACTGAGATACTGGGTATGGAAAGGCTTAACAATTAAAATAATTTCAAAGAGCCAGATGTACAATTGTTCAACCCCTCTGAAACATACTAAAAGTGGTGAAAACACTCCAAAATAGCATTACCTTATTAAATGGGTTGCTGCTTTGGAACATTACACTTTTGGTTATGTTTCCATAGGTGGGGGAGAGAATGGACAGCTACTCTGCTAGCCCCATTGAGCCCTTCCTCTGTCTCTTGTGCAAGTAGTTGACAGAGCTGGTGTCATGAACAGTCCTCTAAGCCAAGGCTTCCTGACCATCTAGGACCCAAATGATCTGGTTCAATGGGAAGCTTTCTGATCCAACTACTCAGTGGCCTCCTGTCTGGGTCAACTGGGTCAAGAGCTCTGGCCTGGTAGTTTCATAGTTGTAGGGTCGGAAGGGACCTGAGCAGATCATCAAGTCTGACCCCCTGCCATGGCAGGAAAAAGTACTGAGTGCCAGGAGGGCTTACTCCTGCCTGCACTCCAAGCCATCTAGAGGAGCACGGGCCTGTTGCTGTCTTTGAGGGTCTACCTGTCCTCAGCTACCCCTGCCTGCTTGAAAACTGGGACTGACTTGAAACCAGAGATGAGGTTCATCCACTGTTTCTCCCTCTCAGGTCATCAGCCAGCTTGTCCTGTCTATATTCTGGTGCTGGTTCAACACCCTGCCCGTGCCTCTGAACCTCCTGGCCAGCCTGCAGTACTAGGCTATCATTTTCTCTAGCCAGGATGGCAGCAGATCACTACAGATGTCCTGTGCTTCCCTTTGCTCAAGGGAAGGCAGGGCCTGGAGTGGTTTGCATCCATAGCCAGGTGCACACCTTCTGCCTCAGGCCTTGCAGCAGCAGCTTTACTGTTTTATAGCCATTTGGCATGGTGCCTGGAGGGGCACGCCTTCCTCTGGCACCTCCAAGAGCTCTGATATGACAAGCAGCTCTTTTGCTTGAGAGGTCTCCCAAACTTGCAGATGCAGTCACCCAGGGGACAGTCCTTCTAGACGAGCCCCTGTTGAAAAATCTGCAGCTGGTGTTACCGGTGATGGAAATACCCTGGAAGCACTGGAAGATGGTCCTGGCCAGTACCACTTTTATCTGAGACCTTCTGGACTTTTTCAGGCAGGGCTGAGTAGAACCCTCTGTGCTTACCTAGCATACGAAGCTGCCCATACTGCAACCACATGCTTCCTGCCACATGCCTAGCTTGAGGGTGCCAGGCTACAGCTCTGCTACCACCTCTTCAAGAACTGATTTGAGGTTCTGGCTGCTCTTTTCCCCCCGTATCTTTTAGTTTATACAGGGCTTCATATATGGCCCCACTAAGTTTCAAGACATTCTGGTCAACCCCCTCCTGGCGCTGGACAGACTTTCCATCTAGCAGACCAGGAAGGTGGTGTGGTGGGGTGCCCTTCTGTTCCCCTGTCCTTCTGCATATTTGAGACAGAGTTTCACTGGGTGGCACGCTTTAGATTCCTTGGATTATTTAAGAATATTTCTCCTGAGTGGCTCTTTGGTGAGGCTTAGTCTCCATCCTTCCTTGTACAAAGGGAGATACTCCTCCCTTTTATTGTGGAAGCCAGTTCCTCAAACTCCACAATGCTTGTTGTGTGATTCCAAGATGCCAGTCAATGTTGGATACTCAGTTTTTCATCTACAGTTCATTCTAGATCAGGGATGTCTAACTTCTGAGTGGCCAGGGACCACATGCTCCACAGCCTGCATGCCATATGAGCCACACATCATGGCATGGTGCAGGCACCCCCTGGCACTGCATGCCCCCCACCCACATGTGGCAAACACACCTCCCCCCACAGCTGCATCATGCCAGTGCTCCAGTGCCTTGTAGTGTCCCCAAGTCCTCTTAGTCTTCTGGCTGCAGGCTCCTTCAGCCACTCTATGCTCCACCAACTGCGCCTTGCTCCCAGTGGCTAGGGCAAGAAGCAGAAGCCAGAGGAGGCAGGGGAAGCCCAGAGACTTTAGCAGCAGCGGTTGGAGGAGGGGATGGGGGGATGTCCACGTGTGTCCCATGGGATGTTAGTTGAACATCCCTGATTAGAGGGTGTTTTATTCTACCAATTACCTCTTCTTGAAGTCATCAATCTAATACTGCTGCTGGAAGAATAGGCAGACTGCAATAAGTGAGCTGTGTTGTCAGTGCTCTCTCTTGGGGCTCCAGGAGCCACTATGATAACATTAGACCTAATTTTGCTGATCCTAAGAGAAGTCACAGCTAGACCAAGTCAGAGAGGAGGATCCATATAATAGCCTTAGTTCTACCAGCTTCAGCTAAACCCCAAACACCACCTGGAATATAAGACCTATTTTCCTGCTGTCACTGCCTCCTTCCTGTCTCCACCCCCTCCCCTTCCCACACACTTTATTTCTCATATTTCTTCTTTTGGTCTGGTATGATAGGAGTCTGGTTTAGCCACCCAAGATAACTACATTTTGCAACAGTGCTGAGAAACTGTTACTAGATAGAAAGTTAAAGGCAATTATCTTAAACAGGTCAGCATTTATACCAGTTTTGCTAGTTCTTGGAATGGCTGACGGAGACTGTTTATAAGGCCTATTTCCCCTGCTGTGACATTGCAAGTAATTCAGCCAGAGAAACAGAAGCTGGCTTCTCTATACCCCATCTTTTTGTGTTTGTTTTCAAGGAAACAAGATTGGATTTCAACAAGTGCTCCATCTCAGCTAACTTCTTAATTTTTGCCCAACAAGAGCAATCATTTCCTCTCCAATACAGTCTGAAAGACTGTCAAACAGGGCATTTTCCTGATATTGCAGTCACAAAAAGTAATTCTAAATGCAGTTTCCTAAAACTTAACTAACCACTGAGTTTCCCCTATAAGGACCGAGTATTTTCCACGCTTGTCTTTCCCATTGTTGCAACCTAGATACAAACCAGAACTTTGGGGAGCTAGGCTACAAAACCAGGACAAACTGCTGGCAATCACAGTGTCTATGAACTTCACTTTTAGCCAGGGCACTACGAGTTTACATGCTGGTATCAGCTGATTTCAAACCAGTAATACCCTACAAACACATGCTTCATAATCAAGGTCACAGTAGTGCAAAAAATTGTGCAGGCTAATTAATCTTTTTCTTGATGAGAAGAGAGACTGATACTGTTGCCAGCATCCTTGCGCAGGACATGAGCCAGCAAATTTCGAAAGGTTTAAAACTAATTTCTAATCTAGATGATAAAATGCTGAGTGCTATGCAAGCCTATACAGGCTGCTGGTTTGCCCAAGAAAACTTGTTTGGTTTGATACGATACATATCTGGTATTTCTAAAGTTGTTTATTCTCAGGAAGCCACTTCCCTGAAGAGTCCCAGAAACCTTAATATGTTTTCCTTCCCATCCCCCTAATCTGTGATTCTCTGAACCTGGAAAGAGACTTATTAGGTCTAGTTCTTTGATAGTCTAACGAATGCATGGACTTCAGCGGAATTTGACCCACTTGTAACAGCTGAGAATCTGGCCATTAGATTCCACATGCAGGTGGTGAACCCTTCTGCTCCTTCTGTTCAAAAGGGACCCGTGAATCCCAAAATTTACTGGCTTTGGTCTGAATTTGACCCTCATGATAAAGTCAGCTTCAGCTCACTTCTTGGTAGTTCTGGAACCAAATCTAATATTACACTGTTAGCATTTTAATTTCAAGGCATACTAACTGCTGAACAGCTGAAATAAAAATATTCAGCTTTTTAGTTTCCAAAGTGCAGGCAGGTTGGATCTGCCTTAGGTGCAGGGAGCTGGCTTGGCTTTCTATAGGTCACCTAAACCTGACCTTTCCAATGTTCTTTCTATTTGTCACCAGACAAATGAAACAGAGCTCATTGGAGTTAAGAAGATGCCTGAAAGGCATGGTCTACCTGAAGCTCTGTTTTGTGTTACACAGCTGAGCTTGGTAAGGCTTTGGCTATTGCATTGGAAGAGGCCCTAGATCTCACCAAGCAACAATGGAGGCATTCACAAGAGAGAATTAAAAAGCGAAAGCTGCAGCTAAAATGGCAGCTGAAGTATTATGCTCCACATTGGGCATTGTCCGATTGAAATTGCTGCCAATGGGCAAGTAAAGATGGGGACCACTGCTCGTTGCAATGCTTATATTTAGGTTGTGCTTTCATCACCACCATCGAGTATAAATTTACATTTTTGCTGAAATATAAGTTGAGAGTCTGATGTAATCACATAGCTCCAGGAACCAAAGGGCTCGATACTGGTTTTCTAGCCAGTCTGAGACTTATTCCAACATTACTTGTATTTGTATATATGAACAGCAAACTGAGAATCATTTGAAGGAACTATAGATCAAAAGGACTGTGACCCCTTAGTGAGACAAACAATCTTTTAATTATTAGGGCTGTTAGGAGTAGGGTTGGGGTTTGGTTTTTGGGGGTTTTTTTGAGAAGGGGGTTTGGCCAGTCTGAGATCTTTTGGGAAAGACGTGAGCAGTTATTTTTGGCTTCTTGGAGGAGCTAGACTCTATAAGTTGGTGAAAATGTAAAAATGGGTGGTCCACCTGAAAGAAAATAGGAAGAATGCACAGGGGAACAGAATAGCCACTTTGGCATAACTCCCATCCTCCAGAGTACTCTGTCCCCAATTACTCACCCTGCAAGGCATTGGCCCTTTGTACCGCTCCATCTCCATGCTGGCCTCCCTTTATTTTCCTATCCCAGGGGACACTCATTGAGTGTCCCATCTCAGTCTCACATTTGTTTCCTCCTCTCATTTTAGACCTTTGCAGTGATTGCTTTTAGTTCTTTCTTGTCATAGCTTCTGCAGTAAGTCACCTGAATTTCTTTACCAGATATTCTGTAGACAAGGCTTTTTTGTGCTGGACTGAAAACAAAAATATTCACAATCATAGAGCCAGACTGAGCAAAGCTGTGTTCAGCCTTGAGGTAGAGAGCCAGAGACCAGTCCTATTTTAGGTCTACAAGAGCTGTTGCAGCAAAAAGGCAAATGGCTGGGCATTAAGACCCACTGACACATAAAAGTTACCAGGATGAATCTCCACCTCCCCATATTAAAAATGAAAGATGCCAGTCAGTAACCTATGAAAGAGTATAGTTTAGAGCATTCTCCCTTGCCTGGGCCTTAGACACTTGAGTTGCCAGTTCTCAGAAAGGGTGAATGGTGGGCCTACGTTTTAGTCCATGTGATCTGGGAAGAGCTCTGCACTGCAGGCTTTCCCAGATCCAAATTGAAGGGGTTGAAAAAAAAAAAAGCGGCGGGGGGCAGACTGTGTTTTTATATAGGCACCTGATTTCTGACTGTGATTTATTTCTACTTCTATGCAAGGAAACAAGTCCCTACATTGTTCAAATAAACCCATTTCCAAACCACTGATTTCTACAAGCTCCCAAATCAGTTATTGCTCAGCAGATGGAATGACAGGACTTTTCCTCAGAGCTTACGGAGATTAAAAGGCCCTTCAGCTGACCGTCCTCTCTCAGGAGCTCTGGGTGACTAAGCCTTATTATTTCAAAGCTTCTTCTAAATCCAGATCAGGACATGCAGTCTCTTAGAATAAAAGATAATCCCTGTTGGGACAGAGTTATGAGACAAGCCCAGAACCTTATGCACCCAGCTGCACATGCAATTACTAACAGTAGTGCATGGTGCATGCACCATGGGCATAAGAAATGCCACACCAGTTACATTACCTGATTTTTGGTGCATAGTGTTCAGAATCGCTTGTCATGTAGTGTGACTGAACCAGCTGCAATGTCTACATGTTTTACATGGCCTAAAGCCTGGTAGATCTGTTGGTGTTTGGCAGTGCCCTTGCATTTCTTGGAAACCTCTGTTCTTTTTTGCTGTGGGAATTGGTAGTAAGTGTGGAGAAAACAGAATAGTTACCTCTAGGATCCTTTGTACAATTCTCATCTGTGTTGAGCCTGTTCTTCTTTGAGCTAGTCCTGAATACATACACAGGGACATTCAGAAGGATGCCTCCTGGTGAATGATGTTCACTATGATGGAGTCCTGATCGAAGAAAGCAGATGTAGAGAATGATTTGCGCAGATGGAGGCACCTTCTGGAAATGCGTGGTCTGCACATCAGCAGGGAAAATGGTCTACAAGTCATGCACATTTTCGGGTGACAGCACCAGGCATACTTCTGTGTGTCTGAACAACTAACTGGTACATACCACCAGTGTACATGTATCTGTGGGATCTACTGTGCAAGAAAATGGGGGAGAGAAATGAGAAAATTAGGAGCAGCGTATAAGGCATGAACAAAATGGAGGGAAGTGAGTGCTGTGGTTTGTAATAGGAAATGCTAATTTATCTGAAGGGAAAAATCCACAATTGCTACTGTATGGAGCAGAGTATTGGGTAATGACGGATTGGCAGGTGTCCTTGGAGATAAGAATGGCAAGGGGGGATTTGCTGAGTGGCTGAGAGAAGACTCCACAACAGACAAAAATGATGGATTTGCTGAGTCCCTGAGAGAAGACTCCACAACAGACAAAAATGAGAACTACTTCAACAGTAAGTGAGAGCAGACTGAGATCGTTTGGGCACATTGCCTAAGGGTGAGAGTGTAGGGGAACACGTGTGGAAAATTCAGGCTGTGATAGCCTGGGTGCAGGAGAAAGACCCAAGAAGATATGGCATGAGTGAATTAAAAGAAAAAAAATTGAGAACATGCAGTGTTTCAGAAGAGATGGTAATGAACAGCAGCTTGTGGAAAACAAGGACTCAAAACACAGACCCCACCAAGGGGGAAGCACACTATGATGATTTGCCAATAAAGCATGTTAAATAAATTAAGAGCTAGATAAATGACTCGTCTCTAAAAACTAATGAAGTAGTTGTCAATCACTGAACAGGAGTTTCTACTCAGGGTTTTGCAGGGATTAATTAATATTAGCCTGGCAGTTTTCTACATGTTCACAAGTGATCCAGAAGTAAACAAAATTACTGCTGGTAACATTTGCAGGTTACACAAACCTGGGTGGAAAGGGAGCGACTTGGATTCCTTTAGCGTTTCAGCCTGCTCTAACAAGATGCGTTTTCATGCGAAATTATAAATCTCCGAGTTCAGGCTGGACTCAACATGGGAGAAGGCAATCTGGAAAGTAGCAGCTGAAAAAGAAAAGGACCGTGCCTCAGGCTAGAGTCAGGCCCTCTCCCCAGTCCTTGCCCATCTGATGGAGCAGAAAAATTCCTTCCCCGGTCCAAATGTTGCGATCAAAATGATCCTGCACAGAGGGCGAGACCCTGTAGCCCAGAGGTCAGCAGCATTTTGCAGGGGAGGAGGGAAGGGGGATTAATGGAGTTGAGCTCCCAGCGCAAGCTGCTCCCGACATGCTGCTGGAGGCCGTCACCGCTCCCCTCACAAGGCCGCTTTCCCCACCCCCCCACCTCGCTCCACAGCCCGGATAAAATGGCTCTATAGACCGCAGGTTACCGCCTCCTCCCCACATCACCCACCAACTCCTCCATGTACATCTTCACCCACTGCCTGTCTTGCAGGCATCCCAGCCCAGCCCCCAGCTTCTTTCCTAGTCCTTTCATCCAGGAAGGCCACACGCCAACCGCAGCCTGGTGAAGGGTCTTTAAACCCGAAAGCTTGCTTTTTCCCAACTATTTAAGTCAGTCTAACGAAAGAGATCCGATTCACCCAAAGAACCTGGTCTGTCCGTGTCCTTAGACCAACACAGCTACAACCTACACCCCTTTCTAGTGCGCTCCTGGCAATGGAAGGAAAAAAAACCACCCCATTTTATCTGGGACCAGCCTCCGCATGCTTCAGAGAAAGGGGAGCAGCCAATACTGGCTTCAGAGGAAGGCTTTGCAATCCTTTGCAAAGGTGGAGGGGGTGCGAGGGGTGCCGCAGCCCCGGGAGGGTGCGAGGCAAAGGCTCCCCGAAGGCCCCCTCGTGCACTGGACCAGCAGGGGGCCGCGAGGCGCCCCCAGCCGAACACGTGCGCTACGTGCGGCGCCTGCAGCTCCCCCGGGTCCTAACGGGGAAGCGGACGCTTGCGCCTGCGCCCTGCGGCCGAGCGCCAGGGCCCCTGCTGACGCGCCCCGGGGCTCGGCCTATCGCCGCCCACACTGAGGCTCTTTAAAAAAACGAGTGCCGGCCCTGAGTCGTGTCAGCTGGCGGATCCCTCCGCGCATGTAAACACAGCTCATGGCGCGGGGGCCGCCGTGGCCCAGCCCCGCGCACGTGCCTGGGGGGGTCGCGGCCGGCTAGCAAGCCACCAAAAAAGGGAAACAAAGCACCGAGCAAAGCCGGGGAGGCCCGGCTGGGCGGCTGGGGCGTGGGGGGAGGCGCTTTCTCCCCACCCGCGTGTCAGGCCCAGGCGGGACCACGACCCCTCAGCAACAGAGAGACCCCCGGGTGGGGCTGCAGGCCCTGAGGGGAGCTGGGGAGGCCCAGGGTCCTGCACACGCTGGAAAGGGGTGGAAAAGTCATGCGAGCCGATTGCCCAGCGGGTTTATACCGCGCCTGACACCAGACAGGGGCAATAGTGCGCTCTGGTTTGCAACATGAAAAAGGCCGGTGGTGCACGGCGAACCGAGGGAGGCGATTCTCCCGCTGTGTTCGAGCCTCCCCTGGACTCGTGTCCTGTGACAGGCCTCGGGAGAGGTGGGCGAATTAGAGAGGGCTCAGCTGGTGACAAAACCGGCCTCCATTATCTTTGCGCGCCTCGGTGTCAATGGGTGCGCTCGGCCATTCGCAACGTTACCAGCGGCCCCTCCGGGTGATGGGAGCAGTGTGGATATCTGCATGGCTTCGATTGCCACCGACCGCGTGCTCCCTCCTTCAGCAAACGCTGCCGCATTTCGTTTCTCTCCGGCGTGGTGGCTCCATGAGGATGTCTATAACGTAATCGTGGATCGTGTAGATGCATGAAGACATAACAACAACAAGGGGGGTCCCACTTGGAAGCCCCCATTCTGTACCTGCCCTTAAATATGGATCGTTTTGGTGGAGCCATTGGCGATGCATAGGGTGCACCCCCTGGAAATGCCAGCCGCGAAACTGGAAGCGCCCTTTCGGTTTCACTGCTGGTGATTTTGGGTTCGGCGATCCGCCGCTGGGGGACCCCAGTTGGTGATCGGCCACTAGGGGACCCCTCCCCCGGTCGGTGATCTGGTGCCCCTTCAGACACCAGTCACCCATGGGTGGGGCTAAACTCTGTCCCCAATCCAGTTGTGTTAAAAGCCCCTCCAAGTTATCTCATAAAAGTCCACATTGTCCTTCAGGGATGTATGTGGCAGCCATGTTGGTCTGAGACAGAAAGAAATGCACAAATCTAGAACTCTTTTTGTTGCAACAAGGATACCTTGTATTAGACCAACTAAGAAATTGGCAAAAAATATATACATCTTTTTCCGCAAACTGTCGGGCTCACATGCGCTTCATCAGGCTCAGGGAAAGTTCAAGATGGTTAAAAGTCCCTGTAGACAGGAAATTGTTAATTTTTTAAAATTTGTATGCAAGGCCAAGTTAGCCCAAACTAATTCCAGATCCCAGAGTCCAGAACCAGACGTGGCCCTGCTACCGGCAAACATCCTCCACCTGCACCCGGGGCTTTGCATGTTTCCAAATCCTTTGGTGGGCATCCTACGTGCAGGCCCAAGCTTGGAGGCGTGGGGTTCAGCTGCCCCCTGAGTTTTGCTTGCCCTCAGCCGTACGGCCCTCGGAGCAAGCGAGGGAGGAGACTCCTGTTTCCATAGAGCGGGTTTAAAACCGCTGCACCTCGGCAGGCACCGAACCAGGCTGGAAGAGCCGTTCTCCTGTGGGGCGGGTCAGGAAAACGGCCTTCTTGGACACAGATATGTGGTGTTTCCCGTCGGGTTAAGAAGCCATTACGCTTGATCCGAACCCGCAAGACGCCGAGATGCTACACTTGATCCGAGCCTGCAAGAGGCCTAGCTTGAATTTTATTAGTCGATGTTAAGAGTCACAAACCAAAGAGATGGCAAAGCCAGAAGGGAAGAGCACGGGAGCCAGGGACTAACACAAGAGGGACGGGGGCGAGGACGGGGCCACAACTAGGTTACAGAAAATACAACGTTAGCCAGCTAACCGGAGGAGCGGGCTTTCACTTGATCCGAGGGAGGAAACAAACTTCATTGTGGTCCAGAGGACGCTTGTCTGAGCCATCCCTTCAAGCCTGCTGTGGGGGACTGTCTGGGACAAGCTGTGGCTGGTAAGGACCACTTTGTGCGGTGGAAACAGGAGCTGCAGGTGGCGTCTTTTATCAGAGCAGCTAGGGACTGATCTGCTTCAGGTGGGCAGCAGCCCCCCACCCCCAGCGC